CTGCGGGGTGAAGAAGCAAAAGTTGTCGGGATCCCCTGGCGCGGGGGGTCCCGGCGGGGCGGGAAGCGGGGTAGCCGGGACCGGACATTGTGGATCGGAACTGGGGATTGGGTCGTCGTCGACTGTCGTGGCCGGGAGCGTGAATCGAGTGAACGGCCTGGGGGGTCCGGGGGGTAGCGGTAGCAGCGGCGGTAACAACACCAACGCGCTGTCCGCGACTCCCGGAGGTTACAACTCCACCGGCCTCTCCCCGACTCTCAGCCCCGGCTCTGGAGCCAGGAAAATGGTGGTTTCGGCGGAGATGTGTTGCTTTTGCTTCGACGTGCTTTATTGCCATCTATACGGATACCAGCCTCCTCGAACACCCAGGTTTACAAACGACCCCTAGTAAGTAGTAGCAAGATGGCTATGTTGACCTGGTTTACCTCAACAACAGATGCTGTGTTTCCTGTTTTCTTGACTTTCGTCGAGTCTGTCAAGTTTTCTAGTCTGGGCGTTTTAAAGGACTTTGCTGGATGTTCACAGCGAATGCTGCAATAATACTTTCCTCGCTAATCTAGCTAGCGATAATCCAAGCCCGTCCGATTACTAAACCAGAACAGCATAACCGAACACAGGAAAGGAGGAGTATTAGAATTAATCGTCAAACGATAAACGCTAGCTACTAATTAATTTAGTTTATTGGAAAATCTATGTTTAATTATATAGGGTAAATATAGTGTTTACAAGTTTAAACGTGTATTATTTCGAAGATTACAAGTGAAGTCGGCTGATGTTCGCCGTGTCCGTTAATTAGTAATAGCTGATGTGTTTTCCCCTGAAAGAGATTAAATGGGTGTTAGCCTTTTCTGCTCTATCCGAGCTGCCCTGCAAGCTAACGTGCTAACCACCGCTAGCCAAACTCACACGGTTCACATTTCGGCAAAATGTTTGCCTTTTCATTTACACTTTCTGCCAGTTTCTTTTATGAGCATAATTCGCTATTTTTACACCCGAATAACTTCGAGTTATATACATTTTTACTCTGAACTACCGTCAAACATTAGCTGAAGCGAGCTAGTGCTAACAAAGCCTAGAGTTGTTTACGTTTCCCTTAGAGATTTTCATTTGAGACAACCCACTAACTACAGTGTTTCTCCTATAAGTTACATTGATTGTCATTAACAATGTATTGATGAACAAATCTACTGCAATACAAGTGATATCGGTACACAAACTAAACTTAAAATAACAAACGGTTTAGATCGTCAACTGTTTTGCCACCCGCTAAACACTCTTTATTAGTCGGACCCTGTTCAGGTAAGCTTTCTCAGTGACAGCTGGTGTGTTGTAAAGTGTGATTATGTATGCTTGTAAAAGTAGATCGAGGGCTGTTTTATAAGAGTGTTAGAGGGATCTTCATCTTATCCGGCTGGTCAGCGTTAGTCAAACTAGTCAATGAATGAATGCCTTCACTGAAGTTCCTCCCTCTGCTCTTGCTGACACACACACACACACACACACACATATATACATATGAGTTAAGGCAGTATGTGGACTCACTTGCCTTGGTCCAGACACTAAATCTATAAATATAATTTGACCAATTATGGTGAAGTCTAGATACTTGCATCAATATGAAATACTTTTTGTGACACTGTACAACAATAATTAATATTTTTTAGGTGGGGTAGGTGCTTTTAAAATACAATTTAATAGGTAATTTAATAAATTCTGGTTTACTTTCGTCTGTTGCTGTATCCCTTCTAGCAACAACCATCACCATTTATGTTCTACTGTAATTTTCCTATAGTATTGTGCAATAAAAAAGGTCTATTATCAGGATCAAGTATATAAGGTTTGAGTCCTGCTGCTATAGCATTTTTTAATAAATCAAACAGTTTTTGTGCATCTACAAGATAAATTAATTGATTATCCCTGCTGAAAAATCCAGCTTAAACCAGCCTAAGCTGGTTGGCTGGTTTTAGCTGGTTGACCAGTCTGGTTTTAGAGGGGTTTCAGCCATTTCCAGCCTGGTCTTGGCTGGTCAGGCTGGGAGATGACCAGCTAAAACCAGCTTGACCAGCCTAGCCAAGCTGGGAGTCCAGCTTAAATCAGGCTGGTCAAGCTGGTTTTAGCTGGATTTGGCTGGTCATTTTCCAGCCTGACCAGCCAAGACCAGGCTGGAAATGGCTGGAAACCAGCCTGGTCGACCAGCTAAAACCAGCCAACCAGCCTAGGCTGGTTTAAGCTGGATTTTTCAGCATGGTAAACATAATTGTGTAATTTATATATTTTTTTTTTGCTCAACAGATGACGTGATGAATGCTGAATTAATACCAAATGTAATATTGTAAATAAAATATTCTTTTATGGTATGGTTTGGTGCGGGTCACTTTTATCAGACTTGTCTCCACTGCCAAATGGCACCAGTGGTACTCCTTTGGTAGGTGTGGTGTTCGGCAGAAACTTGCAGTCAACGTCATTCTTGTTTAAAGTTAACATATCATAAGCGACACACTAAACAAATATACATAAATACGTAGAAATAAATGTTAATAACTAAACTTTCTATGAAAAGGATTCGATTATAGCTGCAGATCAATGATAATGCGAAATAATCTACTGTATTGTCTGTGATTATAAAAAATAAAACAATTATGAACACATATGAACAGCCTTAAAGTCTCTGAAATGTTACCGATTACAAAAATACCCCAAACATGCATTGAGGTTTTATTTGGGTTGATACGTGATATGAAACATACAGTCAGTACAAACCTCTCATCTTTAAGTTTCACCAGCACATGTAGCGTTAACATCCTGTTACAAAGTAATCCTGTCATTCAGAGTTCATAATAGTCCAAAAGGGAGAGTGGTCTGGCTGCAGACCTGGTGCAGTGCAATCTAGGCTGCATCCAATGCTTTTTAATGGGCTCACCTAAGTACCCGTCACAGTGACGTTACTTGCTCCATTTGAGTGCATTGTGTCTGACATTGCATCGCTGAGTGATGCAGTCTCAACTTGCATCATAAAGGCTGCATCCAGATACTATTGCCAAAAGGCGACGATAATAGTTAAACATGGCATGTTTTAGGTTGCTGAAAGAATCATTTGCTCCTTTGTTTTTTCAGGCTTCACTCTCAGGTCTGTCCGTTTCTGAAAGGATGTCTGAAGCACTTTAATAATCAAGCGCACATTATTAACAGGAGCTCAAATTTGTTATTTCAAATCTAGACGCGCAGCGCGCGCATGCAAGTGTGAAATTATCAAATGTAATCATTTAAATAAAATATTTTTATGTTAGTAAAAAGGTTCACATCCTTCACACTCCTCAGTTCAGTTCTGTTTAGCGGTGTTATTGCACTTAATTTATAGTGGCATTATAATGCCAGTTATGGTGCTAGAGCCACCTATAGGTCAAATGTAATAAGTGGTTATGACACTAGTTTAGACAGCCATTTATTAGTTAACAACAATTTTGCTCCAAATCAGGGGCACTCAAACCTTTTCTTATGAAGGGCCAAAAACCAAACTTGATTGAGGCCAGTGGGCATATATAGGTAGGGTAATTTACCATGGCTAATTTCCTATCTTATTAATAATGTTTAAAAATGACAAAAAAACATTGTTTTAGATCAGTGGTTCCCAAAGTGGGGGTCGGGACCCCTTGAGGGGTCGCGGAACAATGAAGGGGGGTCGCCTGGTGATTTCCAAAAATCTACTCATTATTATTAGACCATAAGAATTACCATATTTTATCCATAACCAACTTAAGAGAAAAAAACAGTCGTTTATAGTTACTATAGTAGCTTATTTACTTGTTCTATTGGATTGCGACCCCTGGGGTAAGTACATTATATTAAAGACACAGCAATAGCATCAGATGCAGCAGATTGATTTTATAACACCAGGTTAAACTTTCTGTGCCATTTACAGCACTGAAATACATAAAAAAAAAATAAACGAAGAACAGACTTTGGTCTATTGGTGTGTGTGCGCCAATGCATGCAAGTTTTCTGTATTTATAACCACCCCAGGGGATATTGGGGGTCGCGAGTCACTGGTGTTGTTATTTTAGGGGTCGCGTGCTGAAAAGTTTGGAAACCCCTGTTTTAGATTAACTAATACAGTATTTGTTTTTACATTTTATAATGAATTTATTACAGTAAAAGCAAAGCAATCTAATTATAACAAGATTACACTATTTTTGCCTTAATTTGCTTGCTGATGTCTTCTGCATAGTCCTCTATTTGTCAAGTGACAGTATTTACATATTTAAAAATCTGATTCATTTACAACATTTAATTGAAACATCTAATTTCAGTTTGCTTTTTTGCAACTCAGCAATAAAACAAATAAAAAGGTCACGTCACATGAGAAATGACGATCTCTGTCAAAGGCATTCGCCCCAACCCTCTTCATCATACTCGGTCTCTTTTCAGATGAGATGGTGAGCCAAATCGAAAGTCCACTGTCTTGACTTGAAGCTTGAAAAATGCAGTTTTATTTTTGCGTTTTAGAAAAATAGTCTTCACACAACACATCTTTTGGTAAAATTAATGACAATAACCGTTATAACTGTCAGAAGCATACAGTTCATGTGTTTATTTCGTGGCTAATTCCCTCACTTTGGGATTTGAGTATATTGTAAGCAAACTGCTATGTTTTCAGCATGTTAGCTTTTAATTTTCTTTCTTAGTGTGTGCAGTGGGGCCGCCAGGTGATTTAAAACTTGTAATTAATATTTTAGCACATTTATTGAGGTTATATCTGGAAACACTCAGTATATTGTCGGGTATTCTTGTTTCACAGCATGTTTCTGAGTATGTCACCGGTGGCTTTAGTCTGACAACTGTTCTTTTCACTGGAATGCTGCTGATCCCAATGAAAATACTACCTCAGACCTTTTGTCTTCTGTCTCTGTCAGCAGTTTGCGCAGCCATGTCCATATTTAGCTCATTTCCTTCAAGGCAGCCATGGTATAGCTATATTTGATGACTTTTAAAAATTAAACTGACTTCAAAGTTTAAATCAAAAAACTTTTCTTTGTTATAAGGTTATATTAAAAATAAAGAATTTACAATTTTAAATGTGTAAATAAACTTGCTTTAGAAATGACATGCCAATTAGTAACAAATCCAAGCAGTAATTGGATTATCACAAGCGTAACCAACCAGAATTGCATAGTACCAAAGGCAAAAACTGCACTTGCACAATATTTGCCTTCCGCTTGAACTAAAAAGGCAAACAGATTTAAACGTATTTCAACAAGAATGGAAAATAGTGGTTCAAGTTAAATCAGCTCTGTTATAAACACTGATTGTAATGCAGGTTTCTCTTATTATTACTATGATGGTTATTATTGAATTATTGTATTGGTAATTATGTAAAGATTTGCCGGCAGCTAGCTCTGTGCAGGGCTGTGCTCGGTCAGTACCTGATTGGGAGACCACATGGGAAAACTAGGTTGTTGCCGGAAGTGGTGTTAGTGAGGCCAACAGAGGGCGCTCAACCTGCGGTCTGTGTGGGTCCTAACACCCCAGTATAGTGACGGGGAGTCTTGACTCTCTGTGGTCGTTAAAAATCCCAGGATGTCCTTTAAAAAGATGTGTTTATTCCAACAAAGTGTGAAGCAGATTGGTTAGTACTAGTTACATGTGCACGTCGCTTCTTATTTGTGCCCGCAAGCCGCGCTCCTTGATAGAAAATGACCCAAAATTGATTGGCTTTTCTTCCAAGCACTTAGCAGACACATTTTAATATTAAAGCGATTCATACAGAATGTTTTTTATTATTATTGACAATGGTGTTCGGTTAATTAATGCCGATACCGTTCTATCGCCCAGCCCTAACTACACTTATACATGTGAAAAATCTTTTGAAATATCACAATTCTCAATAACAAAGACAAATCAGAAATGTTTCAGTGAATTTATACATAATATTTTTATATTTGTTACGTTTTAGGTTATATTTCTCGAAGAATATGAAATAAAAGATATAACTGAATGAGTGCAGATCATGCCTTTTTGAGTTATGCTTATGAGATTAACGCACCCAAATCAAACAACAGTTTTTACTATTGACTATAAATTAATAAAATACAGTAATTTACTGTCATAATTTGACATTATCTCAGTTAAATTTCGGGAACCACAGCTGCCACCCTTTTTACTGTAAATTTTATGAATTTTTTGCTTTAAGTATAGAGTACTTGGCCTAGATTGCATATCATTTAATGGCTTCATTCATTCGTTTAAATCATAAATTTGTTTTAAAGCTGATTTCTAGTAATTAAATTGGTCTATTAATTTGCATGTTTGTGCATATATTCATCATGTTTAGAATGCACAAATACTTTTGCCGGAGGGGTTATTCTCTGAATTTCCATCACGATCAACTGATTGAGTTGAATACATTTTTTATGGGAGCGGTTAAATATTGACCGTAACCTCAGGCGTGTGTAGTTAATCCCTGTCCTCATTAACTCCACTTTAGCCTTTAATGGTGGGATTGAAATACTCGCTAATACTGTTTGGATAGTAGCTGAAAGTTCACCAAAATTATAATTGCCACCATTTCCTCTCTTGGGTTTGAGTTTCATTGTTCTGTTGAACACAAAGATAGTGAAAAAAACTACATTGACTTTCATAGTATTTTTTATTTCTACTCTAGATATCAACGGCTGCTTTTTTAAACATCTTTCAGCTTTTTTTGTAATGTGTTTAGCAGAAGAAGTTTAAAACCACTTGAGTGCGAGTAAATGGAAAAAGTAGGGATGCTCTGATCAATCGGCCGGAGAGCTGTATCGATCTATAATCGTATTTTTTGACTCGATTGGTAAATTAATCTGGCCGATCACATGAACCGAAAGCAAGTGTTCGTTTACGGGTTTACAAGCAAAGGAGGATCCATTTTAGATTCTTATGCATCAAATATACACTCCAAACTTTAAGACATGTTAAATTCTTCTTCCAATTATTTGCAATGTTTACAAATTACATTGTTAGTCATTTCTTATCGAATTTTAAATCTGTCTTATATATTGTTTTCTGTAAAGCTGCTTCTGATCATGACGTTTCCACACTAAGGCTGCGTTCACACCTGTGAATGGATTCAGTTGTTCTGAAACAGAGATTACAATTGTTGCTCTTTGCTCTTGGAGCGGTTCGCTTTCACACGGCAAAGTTTCTAATCGGACCAAAAGAGCTAAAACAAGTCACGTATGAGTAAACTCTCCTCACATTGGTCAGAGTGTCAGGGTTTATTTTGCAGCGTCCCGCTCAGCTGTCAGGAGAGGTGGTGGTTTGGTGGTGTTTGACAGGGTGTGCGCGACGTGTCTGAGGAGAGATGTGGTGGGGAGGGGTGAGAAGGGTGCGCGACGATGCCTATTTGAGGACTGGGAGGGAGACGTGAGATTACCGGGAGATCATCACTCGTTTGCGGGCATCCGGAGACTCGCGAAACTTCCCGCCATACTCATAATTCTCTCTTCATATAGCCGTAAGCCTATTACATATCCATAAAACACTGTGATATAACCGCGCTCGGATCGCTTTCTCACTGCAATCGAACCGCTCCAGGGTTCGTTTCAATCGAGCCGAGACCACCTCACTCAAGCGATCTCGGAGCGATTACTTTGGCGCGGAACAGAGCGCGATTGCCCTGTTCACATTTGCCAAACGAACCGCGCTAACTGGGCAAACGAGACACGTTCCCAAACAAAAGTGTAGGTGTGAAAACACCCTAAATGGTTATAAGAGACATGTTTAAGGGATTATATGCAGCATGCTTCATTTATTCTCTTAGGAAAGGAGAGATCTCCACATAAGAATGTGCTTAATGCAATGTTAAAGTCCTTCCCTTTTTAAACATCAGCCAATAGCCTTTGATTTTCCTCACAGCTCAGCTAGTGGCTGTGTTTGGGCTCAAGCATGTCAAATGAAAAGCCAATAAAAAGAAAGGTTTGGAAGATTTGATGAATATCCATTTATGCGGAAGTGACAAACTGAATACTTCGCATATTTCTACCTTTTAAATGCTAATTTTGTCATTGTTTTTAAGCACACTAGCTTAGACATATTCTACCATTAAAAAAAAAAACTTTAATTTAAGCTCACAGGACTTTTAGTTAGGCTTTCTTTAATGTGATTTGTCGAGTTTAGTTTTGTGGTCATGCATATATTCACAGTTAATGCTCTTTTTTTTTATTGTGGCTAATTTAAATCCTGATCTGTTTGTTTCCCCTTTCTCAACAGTCCACTGTTTGTCACTTGGAAAATCGGCCGGGACAAGCGGTTAAGGGGTTGTATAGGTACATTTTCTGCCATGAACCTGCACTCAGGACTCAGGGAGTACACCCTTACCAGGTACCACACATCTCTGTCTGTGAATGTCTGCTTTCCGTTCCCTTTTGTCTTGATTCATAATTCATGCAATGAAATACCGTATTCAGGCTGATCTCTAAATGAACATACTGTTCTTTCCTCCCTGCTTTCTTTCTATTTTTAGTTAACATTGTGCCACATCAAACTATTGGACACACAGAATGCTTTTACACTTGTGTCTTCACAATAATTGTTTCTCTCAGTGCTGCTATTACTAATGAACCAATTATTTGGTGATGCGTTATTTAAATGTCTCCTCCTCACATGTTCCATGTACAACTGTACTTAATTACATGCATTAAATCGAACCCGAACTATTTTCTTTTCTCATATTACATGTTGTCATACTAGTTGCAAGTACAAAATCAGTTAAATCAGGTCAGAAGATCTTTAAAATAGCCCAAAAACATCATTTATTGAGCTTTTTATAATATTAAACAACACTTGCACGGTCATTCATTTATAATTAGTTACTGGAATATTTGTCGGATTTTATTGAGAGGTGTTACAAATTACTCAACATTTACATTCATGCTAAACTATACTATTATTACCTATACAAGTTTTATTGTATGCAAATAATGCCGCTGTATGTGTTGTTATCCTGTAACCAAGTACATTTCAAAATAAAGAGCAACCAATTGTTTATGTTTTTACTTACATTTTTAAAAATGGTTTGGTTTCTTGAAAACATTAGAAGCAATGAGGCAATTTTACAGATACAAAGTTCAGGTGAAAGTCAGTGCAAGACTTATAACCCTAAAAGAAGCTTTTTGACTCTCAAATTGAGTGAAGAGGGTGAGAATGTTAGTGCCTGTCTGAGAAAAGTGTATAAAGAGTGTAGTGAGGGATTTTACAGCCTTTACATTTCTATAATAATTGTTAAAAATAAAGCTGACTATGCGGATTTTGTCTATTGTTATTCTTAGAACGTAACACCCACGAATAACGAGAGATATGGAGAGAGAAATATCATATAAGCACTGAACATTTTATATAGTAACTGCTGTTGTCAAATATATTTGTTCATGTTGTTTGGGAAATGTTGAATGGCACGGATTCGCTTGCGCTATTATTTTAAAAAGTACTGGGTCTCATTCACTAATAATGGCGTACGTTTTTTATATTTATACCCAGATTTGGACTTTTCGCAAAAACATTCCGCCTAACTCTCAGCACATGTACACACATGATTTTGTCCGTGAACTCGTTCACCTGTTAGTAAACTTGAAGTGTTTTAAATTAAGGCTGGTTTAAAGTTCTGCGTCGAGTGATCGCCGGCTCATGCCTTGCGCGTAGTCGTGCATTTATACTTGTGCGTGCTGTTTGTGTTGCTCTGCAATAACACTTCTGAAACACTAGCTGGCAGTGAGGTGTTTGTTCCTCTGTGTCGGGTTCCTTCATGGGTGTTTTGTTTTTTCTGAACACTACCTTAATGTACAAGTAGCTAAAACTCGCTTATTCAGAGGTGGGAACTGGCGGATGTACAACAACATTTAACCATGAGGTGAACATAAAACAACAGTCTCCATCTAGAGCTCCTTCACGGGACTCCACACTTGTAAACACTTGACTCCATCGGGCTCATGGCTCTCCCCACCACCCACACTTGTCACCGATACCAACCTGACCAGTCACAGCGCTTGCGTTATGCGTCGTCGTGACGTGTAGTTACATTTTTGAGAGGTGCACATCAGCCACGGCGAGGGCTTTGCTGGACCATACGCATGCGCTTCATGCAGAAGTATAAATCAGCCTTTAGTGTCTGCAAACATGAAGTTAGTAATTTGCATAATACACGCCCACACCAGCTCCGTACAAGGGCTTTCCGCAAAAAAAGTGGCACTTATCCTGAGAAAATTATAAGATGACAAGAATTAAGAGACAGTTAAGGCACCAAAACGAAGACAAATTACATCTATGGTAATAAAGGTTGGATGTTGAACATACTTTCAGTTCTGAAACACTTGATGCCAATAGAAAACGGATTTAAAAAGGCTCCTATCACTGCAAAAAAAATAATGCATTCGGTGTGATCGGGGCCAGAACAGCCATTCATCACTCTCAGAAAACATATCTGTCCCTTCTCTAAAGACGCAGTCTCTGTTGCCATGCCTCCAAACACAAGGTGAGACACACAAATCATCCTTTGTTTGGACCTCTAAATATACATACCTTACTGTAATATACATTTTTAATGTCTAATGACCTTTCATCCTTTAAAGAACACATCTAACTATATGTAGGGTTCTTTATACATGTTTACAAGGCCACGGGTGTCATGATGATTGCATACATTTGGTATAAGCCGTACAACTAAAATAACTGTTAGTACAAAAGTTTTGATGGATCGTAATTTATTTGTGACATCCGAACGCACATTTCACACATACATTTGTTGACGTATGGTTAGGGAATGAGACCCACTGTTTTTGAGGAAGATGTCAATTATTGGCTTGATTGTATGGATTAATTGACTCATTAAACTCAGCTTGCTAAAAGTGAATCTTTGCAGAGTTGGAAATTCAAGCTCTGCTGTCGCCAGTTTAGTAACTATTTTGCGATGTTTAATTAATTTAAACGAGTGTACTTCCCACACATAGTTGAGCATATGTGATGAAAATAGGTCTCCGTAGTGTGAGAAGATGTTTAACCCGTTGTTCAAGCATTATACTCATGTTAGTGGTGATGTTTCACCATATTGCACTAGACATTTTGAAGATTTACTCTAATGATCTTTCATCTGATCACACTCTTGCGTAGTGTTGTCATGAGACTGTAATTTCGGTTCGAAACATTTGAGCAATAATCAATGCTGATTGGCTCTTGTGTTCACATGCTCAACAGAAATGACTGTGATTGGCTGTAAAGATCACAAGTTCAATTCAGCTTTATTTGTATTGCGCTTTTACAATGTAGATTGTGTCAAAGCAGCTTCACATATAAGATCATAGTAAATGTAAACGGTGTAGTTTAGTTTTTAGAGGTTCAGTTCAGCTCAGTTCAGTGTGGTTTAAATCACTACTGAGAGTCCAAACACTGAAGAGCAAATCCATCTATGAGCAGGTCTACAGATCCCGAACCATGCATGCTAGAGGCCACAGTGGAGAGGGAAAGAAACTTTATCAATTGGGGAAAGTGAAGAATTAAAAAAAACCTTGAGAGAAAGCAGGCTCAGTTGGGCACGACCATTTCTCCGCTGGCCAAACGTCTTGTGCAGAGCTGCAGTCTAGGCGCCAGAGGCTGGAAGCTGGACCTCAGCGAAGAGTCGTCTGTCCCTGGAGTCTCATGCTCTCCACCCCTCCATGACCAACACAGCAGCTGTTCAGGATACGACCTGGTCCAGGATTATGGAAACCTTGGGATCATCTAGTCGCTGGTCTTGGATCGAATCAGTGGCACTGCATAGTCTGAGGGCCTCGGGATGAGCATCCCCCAGGTGGAAATAGAGAATAAAGAGAATAATTAGCTTAGCTGCTGTTCATAGTGTATATAAACGAGATGCAGAAACCTGCGTGTGGAGCACATTCATGTATCATACGGCTAAGTGATGCACTGAGTGTATGCTTTACTACAAAGATAGGTCTTTAATCTAGTGAGTGTCTGATATCAGGAAGGATATTCCAGAGTTTGCAAGGTCACTGCAAAATGCTCCAAAACGCTTGCGGTTAACCTTTATAGCCAATCCCAGTCATTTCTGTTGAGCATTTGAACACAATGGTCAATCAGCAATGTTTAACAACACACTCATCATTGCTGAAATGTTAGAGGGGAATGGATGTTCTTAAAAATTCAGTACCGTAAGGTACCATAATTCCAGTATCTTGACGACACTACTCTTGAGATTGCATGGCTTTGCTCTAAATCTTGTCTTCATGTTCCCTTGGCAGTGCCCTTAAAGACAGTCGCTTTCCCCCCATGACGAGGGACGAGCTGCCGCGCCTCTTCTGCTCAGTGTCTCTGCTCACCAACTTTGAGGATGTTGGTGATTACCTAGACTGGGAGGTAAGAAGCTATTTCCATCTGTCATTATTACACTAGTGATCCGTTTAACATTAGTTTTTCTCAGAATTGCCAAACAATTTGCAAATATGCCCAAAAATATGTGTGAAGAGGGAGCTTGCACCTTACGGTGAGCTGCTAGATACTTATATTTCGTCATAAATGCGACGCCTTCACGATCTGCTTCTCGTGTGCACAGCGATCCAGTCTTCATCTCCACCCTGTTGATGGACAGCCTGTAGATTACATGATCATTTATCATTATCAGTGGTTCTGGTCTGTGCAGAAGTGCCTACTCACTGCGCCCTGGCTTTCAGATAAAGCACACAGACTTATCCTGGTGTCACACGCTGTAATCTGGATGATTCAGGCCATGTGAACACATGAACATGAGACTGTGTGCATGTGTTTCTGCTTGTTCAGACAAAGTGTGTCCTCCGTGGTTTACAGCAGTGCAGACGCTGATGACATCAGGGTGTCTGCTGGTCTTTAATACCATAGTCTAAATCTATTGTTCAGATTGACTCCCCTTTGGTTATGTTGGGGCTGTTTTGGCCTCATTGACTTCCATTATAATCACTTTTTTTGATTGCAAAGCCGTGACAGCAGATAATCATGCATTCTTGATTGCTGCTGGTTTTCCTTGTTGGGAAGTGGAATAATTCATCAGCTGCAGCATTAACCCTTTAGATAGGCCTGTGCAAAAAATGTTCTGGCTTTTATATATTAGTTATATTGAGTTTAACAGCAAGTTATAGTGTGTGTGCAGAATTACACTACTATGTTCCAACCAAGCGACAACCTACCGCTGTCTCTTGAGAAGTCGAACTCATCGAAAATCCGCTAGTCCTGGCTCCATAATAGAGCAAATTTCAATTGAGCCCTCTGTTAGAATGGCCAACTTTACTGCAGAAAAAAAGTGTTTAAAGCCTGGTACAAAGAACGAGTTTGGTTCATATAGCTAACATTACCCTTCATGACAACTGTGAGGGGGTACATTTTTTTATAACTCACCTGTTTGCTTTATATTAGGCTATATTAAGTTTGCATAATTAAGGGCGTGGCCACTTGAGTGACAGCTAGGTCTCGCTGGTCGCTGTCACTTCAGCTCAGCTGACTCCGGCAGATTAGCCACTGAACTCCCCAGGTGAAAAAAATATATATTTAAATGCAATTAAAATACACTTAAATAGCCGCAAATACATTGTTAGTACATTATTTTTTGTGTTAAATAAAAGTTTGATGGCTTTACACTATAAATATACTAATTAAAAGTATGTTTATACTTTAGTAGGACTTTAGTACACTTGACAAAAGTATACTAAATACCGGTAATACTTAAATAAATTTTTAGTGTACTACAATAAAGTACACTACAGAAAAAACATCCAAGAGTTTTATTAGTTTGTTTTTCAAAAGTGTGCTTTAAATGATTTAAACATTAGTTGATATTTAGTACACTGTTTACATACTAATTCTAAGTTTAAAATAAGTTAATATATATAAAGTCTATTAGTAATGTATTGTAGTAGAAGTACATTTTCCCAAAGGTTGTACTTAAGTACACTTAATGTGAATGCACTATTATCACTAACACTTAAAGTGATTTTGAGTGTGGTCATTTTAAGTTTACATTAAATTGACTTTATTAAAAATCTATTAGTAATGTATTGTAGTAGAAGTACATTTCCCTAAAACACTTTTAATACAGTATTTTAGCACACTTTTTTTACAATTTGTATATTCTTTTAATATATTACTATTATACTTTAAATTAGTCATAAATATATTTAAATATATTAAAGTAGGGTTCAATCATATTTCTAGTTGTAACTAAATATATATTTTAAAAATACAGATATATTATGTTAAAAGCACATTTTAGTTCAATTTCAGTGTGTCTCAAAATAGCACAGTTGAGTACACTTAGATGGTATTAAGTTTATCTTAACATATACCTAATACTATCTTTTAGTACATTAAGTACAAAATTAGTGTGCGAAAATAGAGCACTTAGTACATTATTTTAAAAATATACTTGGTGTACTTAAATTGTATTTTAGCACACTTTTTTTCACATTTTGTATATTCTTTTAATATATTACTATTATACTTTAATCTATTCTTAAATATATTTATAAATGTTTAAAATTAGGGTTCAATCATATTTCTAGTTGTAACTAAATATATATTTTTTTAAATACAGATAGTATGTTAAAAGCACATTTTAGTTTAATTTCAGGGTATCTCAATAGCACAGTTGAGTGCACTTAGATGGTATTAAGTTTATCTTAACATATACTTAATGCTTATCTTTTAGTACATTAAGTACAATATTAGTGTGCGAAAATAGAGCACTTTTAGTACATTACTGAAAAGTGTACTAAGTATACTTAAAGTGCATTTTAGTGCACCTTATTTACCTGGGTCGGTATATTCATCACATTTTTGTGTTGTTTAATGCGGCTTTACACAGTCAGTTGCCTTTTGGACTTACTTACAATTATCAGATGATTTGGGATGCTGTGTGTGCACTTAATTGTGCTTACAAACCATTCACGTGACCAAGTTTCCCGTGTGAGTAAAGTTATATACTTATACAAAATCGTCATCTTGATTTTAAACAACAACAAAAAAATCGTGATTCACATTTTTGCCAGAATCGTGCAGCCCTACGATCTATATGTGATAGAGTGTTAAGGTTGGTAATTAATTTGTGTTGTGTGCTGTTTTTGTTGCAAATTAAGTGCTATAAAATTATACTATATACAATTAGTCTCACATTCTATCCAGTGTGTTATTAAAATGGTCTTAAATATAACTCTTAGAAAGCTGCAGATACCCTGGAAATTTCCTTTGGTGCAAAATGAGCGATGTTGAGGAATGCTGGTTTTAAAAGTGCATGAAGTGGTGGCATTGCTAGTTGTTTCTTTGAGTGTTTTTTTCCTCCATGTCAGCTGGCCAAGGCTGATCTGCAGTGTGACTGATCCAGACTTTGCTTACGGACATTTAGCGGCCACATCAGGACAATAGACAAGTCATAGTTTAGTTAGAAATACAGAGATGCAAAAGGGCGTTACAAATCAGCTTGTGAAATCATAGGAGTCACATGTTTAGAAAAAGGCGACACAGTGGCTCATTGTTTAGCACTGTGGAGTCGCAGCAAGAAGGTCGCTGGTTCGAGTCCTGGCTGGGTCAGTTGGCATTTTTGTGTGGGTTTCCTCCGGGTGCTCCGGTTTCCCCAACAGTCCAAACACATGCAGTATAGGGAAATTGATCAACTAAATTGGCCGTAGTGTATGAGTGTGTATAGGTGTTTCCCAGTACTGGGTTGCAGCTGGAAGGGCATCCACTGCTTAAAGCATATGTTGGGTAAGTTTTCTGTTTATTCCACTATGGTGATCCCTGATGAATAAAGGAGCTAACCCGAAAGGAAAATGAATGAATTATTTGGTTTATAAAACTAATCTTGTCCTTATAGTTGTAGCTCCAAGTATTTAAAGAGCGAGTTCACCCAAAAAATTTATGTATATATATCTTCACTTGTTCCAAATGTGTTTGAACACAAAATGAGATATTTTGAAGAATGTTGGAAACTGGTAGCCATTTACTTCTGTAGTATTTTGTGCTACTCATTTCCAGCATTCTTCAAAATACATGTTGTGTTAAATATAAAATGAAACTCTTGATGGTGATTTAATGACTTGATTGTAATTTCACTTTTTTCCGCCAATAGCAGAACTGTGGAGGCGGGGCTAAGGATAGTAAGGCCCCATCTAATTGGTCAAATTTATTTAAAAACCAATGCATAAAATGTCATTTATCACAGGCATTTGCAATCCCTATATTGCATATATTGTTATTGCAATAATGATAATTTTGTGATATTGTGCAGCCCTAATTTAAAGAAACACATAAGGCAGGGGTGTCCAAACTCTGTCCTGCAGGGCCGCTGTCCTGCATAGTTTAGCTCCAACTTCCTCCAACACACCTGCCTGGAACTCTAGTTTACCAAGGCAGAGCTTAATTAGCTGGTTCATGTGTGTTTAATTGGGGTTGGAAGTAAAATCTGCAGGACACCGGCCCTCCAGGACCGAGTTTGGACTGACCTAATGTGTGCCGTTTCTCATTTGTTTTGTTTATACATAGATGGTAGTGTCAGCCTTATGTAAAATTAACCTGATTGGCATAAGCACAGCAATTCAGTATGTCAGTTTCTTGGTAACTTAAGACAACAGACATATTTTTATTATTATTATTATTAACATTATTATTATTGCGGAATTATTTCAATATATGTGCAATGTGCACATCTGCAATATTTAATTGGTCAGAAGATTTGATGAGAAACTGAAGTTTAAGGTGACGTCAAAAAATAAAGCCATGTTTATCCATGACAAACTGCAAACCTTGGATTTTTATGAATTTTCTGAATGCTAATTTTGTCACTGTTTTGAACACACACTAGCTGAGCAGTGTCTCCCAACCCTGTTCCTGAAGGCACACCAACAGTACATATTTTGGATGTCTCCCTTATCTGATCATTCATTGCAGTTTTTGGAGTCTCTTCTAATGTTCTGATGAGTTGATTCGGGTGTGTTTGATAAGGAAGAGGTAAAAATGTACAGTTGATGTGCCTTCAGGAACAGGGTTGGGAAACACTGGCTTATAGATATCCCTAAGACACATAGATTCGAACACCTCAACAAACTGTAGTTTCACAGGAGCTTCAGCCATCTGAAGATGCATTAAATGCTGAAGTCCTGAGCAAATGCACTGTTTGTCATGTTCTTTTGTGGTCAGTGCTGGTGAAATGGCGGTGTTGTGTGACGTTTGTTCAGAATGATGTGTTTTAGGGCGTTACAGGCCCAACAGTAGAGGAACACAGCTGGATTTTAGCACCGTGGCTCCAGGTCTGTTGGCTCTGGCTCTGGAAAATTGGCTAATGTGTGTGAGAAGAGCTGAGGCACATTAAACAGAGTTTCCATTGAACTTTTCATTTTTGTGAGCGCTTAGATTTGTGGTCTATGAATACCATGTCCTGCCTGACTATAGTGTACACTTTTACTACTTTAAAGGGACAGTTCACCCTAGAAATGAACATTTACTCACTATTTACTCTCTCCTCTAGTGCATCAACACTTTTATTAGTTTCTGTCTTCAGCTGTACACAAGATTGTTTTGGGGGGGGATTGGGGAATATTCTGGCTGATAAATACGTCTTCAACTGTTCAGATAATATCATAATTAACCACATGCAACCCATTCGATGCTTAAAATCAACATTTCAGAACAGCATAAATAAAATAAACCTTTTATTTAAGTCCCTTGATTGTAAAAGGAATATCATCTACAACCATGACTTCCCAACATCATCCAGCCAGATTGTTTAAAAGTCTATAAAACCATCCGTAAGGTGTGCAGGTCATCTTATTAGTGCATCAACCAATCAATGGCAGACTCCGGAAACTGTATTACAACCAACATATATACACTTAAAGGGTTAGTTCACCCAAAAATCTACATTTACTCTGTTTGCTCTCCCTCAAGTTATTATAAACCTTCATGAATTTCTTCATTCTGTTAAACACAAAAGAAGATATTTTAAAGAATGCTGAAAACAGGTAACCATTGACCTCCATAGTATTTGGTAATGGTTACAGGTTTCCGACATTATTCCAAATATCTTGTGTGATTTAAAAGTAGAAACTTATAAAGGTTTGAAACGAGTAAAGAGGTGAGCAAATAATGAACTATCTTTGTGCATTTAACCCTTTAACACACGATGTCCACATTTGTGAACAGTTCATTTAACTCATCGTTTATCATAGTCATTTTCTCCAAGCAACTTGAGGGCTGAAGATTGACAGTAATAGCTGAATAATGTTTAAATAAAACTAAAATGGTGGCAAAACCGAAAGCCGTTTAAAAGTACTAAACAATCTTGACTGTTTTCACACTCACTGGCCACTTTATTAGGTACACCTTATTTGTACCAGGTGGAACCTCTTTTGCCTTCAGAACTGCCTTAATCCTTCATGGCAGAGATTCAACAAGCTACTGGAAATATTCCTCAGAGATTTTGCTCCATGTTGTCATGATAGCATCACACGGTTGCTGCAGATTTGTCGGCTGCACATCCATGATGCCAATCTCCCGTTCCAACACATCCCAAAGCTGCTCTATTGGGTTGAGATCTGGTGACTGTGGAGGCCATGTGAGTACATTTACCATTGCCTTTCTATCAGTTGGTACCAGTCTGGCCATTCTCCTCTGACCTCTGGCATCAACAAGGCATTTGCGCCCACAGAACTGCCGCTCACTGGAGATTACCTCTTTGTCGGAGCATTCTCTGTAAACCCTAGAGATGGTTGTGCGTGAAAATCCCAGTAGATCAGCATGGCATGTCATGTTCAAAGTCTCTTAAATCCCCTTTCGTCCCCATTCTGATGCTCACTCTGAACTGCAGCAGATCATCTTGCAGTGAGCTGCTGCCATGTGATTGGCTGATTAGACATTTGCATTAACAAGCAGTTGAACAGGTGTACCTAATAAAGTGGCCAATGAGTGTAATTGAAGGGGCTAACATGATCAAAATGTCCATGAGTTAATATCATCAGTGACATCTTCATGTAATGGATCAGCAGTTGAAACTGTCCGCGAATGCACAGATATACAACTTGTATGTCGGCAGCAGGAAAACATGATCATGTGGATGTTATCATTTATCGAATTATCGTTTACATGCAGATCTGATGTGAAACAAATGTCTTTTTATTTCGTAGGTGGGTGTTCACGGCATTAGGATAGAATTTTTTAATGAAAAAGGATCAAAGCGCACCGCCACCTACCTGCCAGAGGTTGCGAAGGAGCAAGGTGAGCATTTCTGAGATCTTGAGGTTTATACTGCGCTCAACATTTGAAGAGGATCAAAAACATCACAATAATGCTGTATTGGCTAAAGGGGAGCTGTTATGCACATTTACGTGGGGTTTAAGCCCAGTTGTGTGTCAGCAGTGTGTGACTATCTCCAGCAGCCTCTAATAGTAAACCTGAATGAAATGTATTGTTTACAATCAGACTTGATGAATGAAACACTTTGATTGGCATTCTCCCTTTGTATGTGTCATCAGAGTGGGAAAGCCCCACCCACTAGTGCCCATCTCTCAATCTCATTAGCATAAACAGCAGCCCTGAGTGAGAAGCAGCCGTCTGTCCATTCGCCATTAGAGTGTTTGAGCTGCTGAAGATAATGTCAGCATAGACTAAGAGGATTATAGATGTGGAGTTTAAGATGAACAGCGACAGGAGCCACATAGACTGACAGAAGCATGAACACACACACATGCACATCAGACCTGTTCGCACAACACTGACACACAGGCATCTGTACCTCCGCCCCTTTCTGAAAGGAGCACAATCTCATTTGCATTTAAAGCGACAGTCAGCAAAACACCACAATTAGGATCAAAACCTGAAAGGGTCATTCTCAGAGAGCTGAAGAACATTATCTCTGTGCTCTACTGTGCTCAAACTGAAGCACACACACACTACACACATCAGAGAAACATTATAGGTCCCCTTTAACATGAACAAGCAATACATTTGCCACAGTATTTATTCATCTTCGTTAATGCCAGTCAATTGCTTCAAAGTTGTTGCTTTTTCATCTTCACTGTGCATTAATTAATGCTAATAAACATGAATTTGGTTATCAATAACGCATTAGTGAATGTTAAACTATGATTAATAAATGCTGTATTGTTCAATATTAGTTCATGTTATCAAATACACTAATGAAGCCTCACTGCTAAGTGTGACCAAAAACCTTAATCGAAATAGTTTTAAGGCAAAAGAATGGGCGTAGTTCAGTAGTTTTAGGCCAACTTTGGTGGTGTCGATCCTGTTCAAATGTTGACTTCTGCACAGAAATGTAATGTAGAATAGACTCAAAGATGAATCCTCCATGGGTCTGAAATAAAGCATCTGTGTTTGTTCTCTCTGTAGGATGGGACCACATTCAGACCATAGATTCCTTACTTCGAAAGGGAGGATACAAAGCTCCCATCACAAATGACTTCAGGAAGACTATTAAATTGACCAGGTGAGATTGTGTTCACATGCTAAACATACAGTTCAAGTCGAAATGATTGACCCTCCTGTGAAACAAGTATTTTTCCGATAATTTTGTGCCTTATACAATGTGTTATTCATTCATTGTTATACAAAATAGTTTTAATAAATTCTATTAACTAGTCTAATTTGTCTTTTCATGACCACATTTGGTCTAAATAATGAGAGAAATACGAATTAAGCTGCGATCACAAAATTTTGTGTGTGCGGAATTCTGTCGTACGGCGCTGCGAAAAGGGGTGTGACTAAACAAGCTTATTAGACATTTAAAAAGGGAGCGATTGCTCCATGTTTTAAAGGGCCATGTGTGTAGACTATCCTGTCACAAAATGCGGCGAAAATTCAACACGACGGTCGGCAAATGTTTGCTTACAGTGTTCACGTGTAGCATAAGCAGCATTTACAGCAGAGCTTTCAATATTGTGGTGATATTAATGTACTGTAAACTAAGTAACTTAGAAATCATTTTGACTAAGGTCTGTCTGTAAACACTGAAAGAGTACTGCTGACAAAGCGAACTATACCTTTGCCATCTGAATGAACAAAGAAAGGGCGCTGATCACACACACTTACCGAATCTGTAGACAGGATAATCAGCTCACACTGGAGCTGCATCTTTTTTAAAGGAGACAAGCAGCAAATCCGGATCTCACCATAGATGAGAAATGCTCTTAAGTAAAAAATGTTCCAAACAAACGCATTTCTGCAGCGCACCACTTACACGGATCCATACGTGAGTCCAGCAGCGCTCTCATAGAGAGAGAATGAAACAAAACCTTCACATTATGAAAGCAACACTGGCGACCCGTATCTCCAAACAACTCTTATTTTTTTCCCACAACTTTTGGCAACACGTGTGTCGTCTCTCTGCCGTCTGAACACTGTTTCAGGTAAAGTCGAAGAAAGCTAGCATGCATATTAATGAAGTTGCAGCTCATACATAATGGAGCGCGCTGATTGGTTTGAACCAAGCCTTACTCATGAATGAATGCAACACACTCAGAGACGTAATACGGGACACTCTGGCACAGACGTCCAGTCTGCACGCTGGAATACACGCTATTATCTCATGACTGTGACGCAGCTTCAAAAATTCGTTTCAAACCGGAAGAACGAATTTGCTCAAAATAACGCAAAAACAACCAATTTTCACTTTTTAGTGAGATATAGGTGTCCTAATAGTGTTTATAGCAGTGTGGGACACATATACCACTGTCAACAGCTCAACACATGTGTTCTGGTGATTCGTGACCCTTTAAATTTCTGTCCAGAAAGGTCATGTTTTGATCCTCAATTGGTCTCACACAGTCAACTGATGCGATTAGCCGGTCAGAGTTCACCAAACTTGAACTTTGCACCGTAGCGACCTGTGAAACTTAACGCATGACCCTGCGTTTCCAGTCTGACGCATTTGCGTGCGTATGAATGGAAGTCTATGGAAGGAAAAGCCCAGTGTGACCGCAGCTTCACACGTATCCAATTACTCAATCACTTGCATCGGTAGATTAATCGATTATCAAAATAATGCCCGGTACTGACCTCTGGTGTCTTTCTCAGGTACCGTAGTGAGAAGATGACGATGAGCTACGCAGAATACATCGCCCACCGCCAGCACCATCACTACCAGAACGGCATCGGGCACCCGCTCCCTCCCTACAACCATTATTCCTGACAGCGAGCCGCATGACCAGTCCCTGGAGCTCTCGGCGGACATCTTCCCCGGAGAGCCGGCCCCGTCCTGGTCTAGCTATCTCTACTACTGTACCATTTTATGATGATAGTTTCCGCTGCCGTGTCTTCAGTCTGACCGGGGCATGGCAGCGGGTGCAAAATCAGCATTAGGTGATCGATTATAAACCCAGAAGAAAACAAAAAATTCATTTATTTCCTCATTTTTAATCCTTTGTATTAATTTAGTTTTTGCAGCATATATATATGACTATATATATCTCGATCGACCCCTTTTCTTTTCTTTAAAAAAACAAACAAAAAAAAGCAAATAAAGCAAGTTTATTTTAATTATTATTCTTTCAACTAATTTCCTAATCAGGTTTCTGAGTCTGTGGATGGAAATAAGTCGTATTCAGACTGATGGGCTCGTGCTTTCGCTCAGATTTTATGTACGCTAAGCTTTAGTATCTGCTTTATTTTCCCTTTCTATCGTTTGATATTGGTTTGGCTTTTATCCGGTGTGGGCGAGCATGACGGCTTTCTCTTTCCTCTCTGTGCAGTTTCTTTAGCGAGGGGTGGTTTTCTGTTTTGGCTTGTTTCACGTTGTTGTGGGTTTTCTGCAGTGCGGCTGAGGTGAAGTCTTGTGTGTTTGTTTTCTTCTTTCTTTGAAACCACTTTATTAAATTAGCTGCTGGGTAACCCAGAATATTCGCCCGTAACTCAAAGCGAGTTGATTTGTCTGGAGTTTACTTTGATTAACAGTCAGTGCTCTCTGTGTAGTGTAGTTTAGAAGAGCACAAGTGGTGGTGTTGCTTCATGATGAGTTCCACATCTTCAGTTTGAGTTCTCATGTGGATTTGTGCGGTGTCCAGTGTTCCCTAGTGGTGTCTGTCAGACAGAAAGATCTCCGAATAATGGAGTAAATAAAGGTTTTTCTAGTTTAGTGAAGGTCAGAAGATGCTCTGCTTTCTGTATTAGTCCTGTTTTGTCACACAGAGAGGAAAAGCTTTGTGACAGGGGATACGCTCGAGAACATAAACTAAAGCCATACTCTTTTTAATGCATGCTATGGCAGGGTGCCTGTTCTGAATTGGTTTCTGGCTCGGGAATCTTCACGTTGCTCTCAGGAGGACGCTTGCTTTATTTTTATGAACTGATCTGGTCTTATTGATGATGAATATGCCAGTTTGTGTCTCGCATGGCAACAATGTTTACATCTGCATACGAATGCTGTCGTTCACAGTAGTAGAGGAGCTCATTAACGTCACGCGTGTCGGTCTTAGGATGGAGATTGTTTGCGCTGAGGTGTCGCATCAGGAACCAATAGTTGTGTTTGATTTATGGTTATCTCACTGACATTATGAAGGAATAGTTCAGCTTCTAATGATAATTTGATCACTCTAAAAGGTATTTGTTTCCTTCTGTTGAACACAAAAGAAGATATTATGAAGAATGCTGGGGAGAAGATGCAGCTCTTGTGGTTTATAGTAGGAATATAAAATAGCTTGTGTTCAACAGAAGATAGAAATCCAAAGTCGAGAGAGTGAATGATGATCTATTTTTCATTTTTGGCTGGACTGTGCCTTTAAAAGGACACTTGCTCATTTTACAGCTCTCTTATAGATGAACAGGTGAGTTTTACCATTTTTAAGTCCATTCCGACACTCTGAATCCTGGTCTGGCAAGCGTCCTATTAGCTTAGCTTAGCATAGATCATTGAATCAGATTAGACCATTAGCATCTCTCTCAAAAACGACAGAGATTTGATCATTTTGTTATTGAAAGCTCGACTCTTCTGTAGTTAAATCATGCACTAAGATCGACACAAAGATTAAAAGCATTATTTTCTAGAGGAGGAACTATACGCTCATTCTAGCATGTGTGGAACGTCATTCAAGTTCCTTGATTATTACGCAAGAATGAGAATATAGTTCCCAACCAGATCAGCCTAGAAAATAACTTCATTCTCCATTAGTCTTAATACATGATGTAGCTACAGAAGAGTCCAGCTTTAAATAGGAAAATGATCCAAACTCTGGTCATTTTTGAGAGAGATGCTAATGGTCTAATCCGATTCAATGATTTATGCTAAGCTAAGCTAACAGTGCTTCTGCCAGACCTGGAGGATTGCCTGAACAAACTTCGCAGTTTAAGCTGTAAAATGAGCGGACTTTAACAAAGTAAAGTGGAGTGTTCCTTTAAATCTCTGCAAAGACCATGTCTGTGTTGTCTTCACAGCTTTATTTTAAGGACTAAGGATGTAGACAGAAAAATCATGCTGTCTGTTGTCGCAGTGGGCTGGCGTTCAGTGTTTCTGAAAGGAAAAAAAAATAGGAGAATATTTCCGTCTTTTATTTTCATATGCAAAAACGTTAAGGGCTTTTGGGGTTCCATCCACAGTCATTATAAAGCTCACCTAAACCTAAATCAATAAATAAAAACCTTTCAGTTGTGTTGCCTTAAAACCCATTCTGACACGGACTAGAAATGGAGGCTCTGAATGCTCGACTAGCTCCAGACGGCCGTTTCTGGATCTGCTTTTGCTCACAATCTTAACCCGTGACTTTAGAGCAGAGCTGTGAAACTCAGATCCTGGAGGGCCGCAGCTCTGCATCAACACACTTACCTGGAGGATTCAAACCAGCCTCAAAGATTGGATGAGTTAGATCAAGAGTGTTTAATTAGGGTTAAATCTAAACCTGCAGAGCCCCAGCCCTCCAGGACCTGAGCTGGACACATGTGCTTTAGAGGAAAGTAATATCTGTTTTGAGTGTTCATCTCTTCCTCCAGAGGCCCTCCACTGCCTAATGGTGACTGTTTTCCCCCTTTTCTGCTTCTCTAAATTCCTCTGACCAATAAGCAGGTCTGTCTGGCTCTGAAAAACCCTTTAAAACCGTCTCTTTATGGCCTCAGATTAAAGGTTACGCTGCATAAAAGGCGTTTCTTGTCTTGTTTCTAGTCTAAATATCTCAATTCTTAAATCAAGAAGCTTTTTTCTAGAAAAGCAAGACATTTTGTGTGTTTATAAAGAATAAAAAAGTCAAAATGAAGTGAGTTTTTCATTAAAAACTGCCAATGGACTCAGAGAAATAATCAGTTTTTGCTTTGACGTGATTGACTCTTCCTCCATTGGCTGATTATTAAGCTTGTTTTAAGGAAAATCTCACTTCATTTTGACTCAATATTTCTGAAAACAGCTCAATATTATTTACTATTCCTGAAAAAGCTTCGTTATTTAACAATCTTTCACTATTTAGACTAGAAACAAGACAAAAGAAGCCAGAAACGCTTATTGATTTTCAACTAGTTGATCAGTCAGAGCCTGATTTTATGTCCGGTCCTTCAAAAACAGCACAAACTGAACATTTATTTTCATCTGCTGCAAAACCAACCCAAGTCTTAGCCATTCGCGAGAACTGTAACACACACACACACACACACACACACACACACAATTTGGTTGCATGAATACGAGGCCTCCTTTAAAACACGGCATGCTTGTTTCACGGCGAACTCTAGATACGAGACTAAACAAGACGAGACTATATAAAATGGTGCTATCGGACCTCATGTCGGGGGGGTGGTCGCAGTAAATGTGACTGGTCATGCGGACTCATCCATCATATCAGACTTTATTGTTGTTGTTATGATTATTATTATTCTCCTCAATATATGCAGATCTGATTTAATGGTGTTTTTTCCTACCAGTGTAACACAATCTCCTGCAGGTTTGAAAGGACATGTAGAGACGAGTCTAGAAACCCATCTTTCCCTCATGGCCTGGGGGACGCAGGCATATGCTTATCATCTCATCTGTTGATACATCTATAAATATAAATGTATACGCAATACACACACACACTCTCAGTGATGGCTGGTTAACCGGATGATGAACGCTGTGGCCTGAAGAAGGCCAGAACTACAGCGCTTTGTGTTTGAGATATCATTTTCGCGATGAAAACACACGCCGGTTGTTCCTCAACACGCTCAGTTGCACGGTTTCAGGAAAGGAATCCTCAAACAGGACTTCAACAGCATTCACTGGCTCATCTGGACGCTTGATCTTCGTGGAAACCCATTTTCCGTTTGTCATTTCTACCGGGATTAGTGTGTGTGTGTGTTGGGTTCTGTGCGTAGGTGTCGGACACACACATACATACACACGCGCACATTCGTCTGGAAGCTCATGTTACCTTTGTGTGTTCAACCGAACCAAAGATGCCTCCAGCCATGTCCAAATGCTGCTCTACAGACCTGCCTTCCTGTCCTTCCAAAAACCTTCCCTGCAAGAGAAATGTCTTGATTTTCCTTTTCTGTGTCTTTTATTTTCGTTCTTTTATACCGTTTCTAATGTTGTCCTTTTATTTTATTTTATTTTTAGCTACCTAAGTTCAATGAATTTTCATTGTAGCTATCTTTGAGAGCTTGGGCACGGTGTTAATGACCGTAATGCTCGGTTGCGTTTTTATTTTCTTGGTTTCATCATTGTTATTATTATTATATATTTTTGTAAAAGGAAGAAAACCCCATAGCGTGCCTCTTAGATTTATGGGTTTCTTAATGTGTTGTTCTGTTCCTTTTCTTTCCTAAGACCAGCAGTTATACTTTATACAGAGAAAAAAAACAAAAAGATGAGTTGATTCTTATTTTTTAATGCCATTTGAGGAGAAATGAACAAAAAAATGAATAAATATGAAGCGTCTTTTCTTTACTCTGGACCCAGTAGCTGCACTGGCACACACAATCGCACTGATAGGAGATTTAAAATAATAAAAAAAAGTATTAATAATAATAATGATGATGATGATGTAAGAACTACAATAAACAATTTCTTTTTTTTAATAAAAAATACAGAAAAATACTAAAAAGAAATATAAAAGAGGTAAACACAATGACTGTTTTTGTACATCGAGTTCATTCTTTTCAAAAAAACAAAACAAAAAAATATTTTGGACCTAGTTTCTAAATTATTGGAGTGGTTTTTTTTCTATGTTCTGGAGAAGATGACGAGTTTGGGGGTTGCCTGGCGTAGCCCTTCACGCCCTCCACATTTTCCTCCTATTTTGGGTTTGGATTCTCTCTTGCTTTAGTAACAACTTGGCAGAAAAAAATAAATAAATAAACTAAAAAAAAATAATAATAATAAACATAGAAATGAAGAAAAACACGACGACTGTCCCCTGTAGATCTAGACCCTTTACCCTACTGAATTGCTGTTAGTGTGATGATGAGACTTGAAATGGGCATTTATTCTGAATATGGTAGTGCGGCTCCGAAAAAAACTACAAAATTACAAAAAAAAAAAAAAATACATTTACTGTGTT